ACTGTTTGTTTGTTTTTTGTTTGCTTGTGTTATGCTAGTTTTCTGGTCCTGTTTCTGTAGTGTGTATTGAGTTTTAGGCTAATGTGTTATATTCATATGGTGTTCGTGCACTTTCATATTTGTACTTTGTTTTTCTTCATTCATGTAAGTCACGATGTTGGCCGAAGACATAAAACATGTGAGGCTTGGATCACCCAAAAAAGATGATTTGGGCTTTGGACTAATCTGTAGTAATTCAGTATTATTGGACCCAAAAAGCATTTCTCCAAAAGTGTGTGTGTGTCTTTTTGCCTGAATAGATGTTTTTTATCCAATTAATATTTAATATACTGGTACTCCAGTCTTATTAACATGTGACTTCTAACATATTTTATTATAATTAAAAAATTTAAAAATTTATTAAATTTCTAACTTTGTTTCTATTAAACATGCATATTTTAATAATATTTTTTTTTTATATTTAATGGAAGAATAACAATTAGGTCTTAAAACACTAAATTAATATTAGCTAAGCCCCTGACAATTTTTTTTTGAAAAATAAGATAAAAATATCTATTTAAATTATTACAAATTGAAAATTTTTAATTATAAATAAATATTTAAATATAAAATGTAACTTTTAAATTGTAACAGAAATTTTATTTATAATTATTTAAATTGATATTTATAATTTATTTTGTAGAAAATTTTGTCGAGGATCTAACTATTATTAATTCATTCTTCTGAGACCTAAGTGTCATTCTCCTAATATTTAATAGGGATAAAAAAGGGATAATGAAACTTTTAACCTTTCAAGTTTATTTTTTTATTTGGCCTTTAAATTTGTCTTTGCTTTTTATTTGGTTCTTATTATTTGTAGGATATAAAATTATTAAAATCTATTAACATAGATGGTAGAATATTGATCGCAGCTATGTACATTAATAAAAAGGGTGTAATTATTTAATAAAAAAATAGACTTAGAAATTTCAAAAATAAAAGAAAAAACAAAAGGCAGCATAAAGGACTAGATTAATAAAATTTAAACTGATTTGAATTCTAATTTGTTTGTCTTCATGTCAATTCATCAAAATATTTAGCACATTAGATTAATTTAAAAATAAATTTGTGTTTTATTACCTTTGTTCTAAATTATAACATACTTTTGAAAGTAATTTGACATCCCAAAATAAAAGACTTTGACAAAAATAAAATTTAATTAATAATATTTTTTTAATATTATTTTTTATTATATTCTCATTCTTTAATATTTTTTCATAAATTGAGTTAACTCAATGACATTTTCATAAGTTTACATTGTTTTTTAAAAAAGTTTGTGAAGTGTATTTAAGAGTTTTGTTTATATATAAAATTTTGTTTAAAAATATTTTATAAATTGGAATGGAAGGAGTAAAACTTAAGAGACTAATATATAATTTAAGAAAACATAAAAGATTAAATTGATGAAAGTTAAATTTCAAAGACCAAATCAATAATTGGAATAAATTTAAAAAAAACTAAAAGTAAAAGTTTCATTCTTTCAATAAAAATTTAAGGAAAAATTACATATAGGACCCACAAAAAATAATTTATTATCAAAATTTCATGAAATTCATAAAATACTATCAAGTCTCAAATCTTATACATTTATAACTTGTCAAAGAGTATTTACAATTGAGCAACAGACATTTATAACTTATAAAAGAAAATAATAACTTGTAAATAATAAATTGTAAATGTCCTTTCTCAAGTTGAAATTGTGCAAGATTTAGAACTTGAAAATATTTTATGAATTTTATAGGACTTTTTGATAATAAATTTTCTTTTATGAAATCTAGATGTAATTTTTCTAAAATTTAAGAGAAAATTACATATAGATTTCCTAAAGTTAACTTATTTAAAAATAAGTCATATGAAACCCACTACTATATCCTTTTAGACTTGAGTGTAATTTAAAATTAGGATAAAAAGTTAATAATCCTTATTAAATACACACACATTATATTAGTCAAATAATTTACAATTACTTCATCAATAATTTTTTTTTATATACAACTTCATCAATAATTTACAATTGTAACTTCAACCTTTAACAATTATGACTTCATATATTCAATAATTAAATTGATCAGTTTGATTATTAGATATATAAAATTACAGTTGTAAAAATTTAAAGCTATAGTTATAAATTGCTAATGAAATAGGTGTAAATTAATTATTTAATTAATGTAATATATGTTTTATAAGGGTCTTATTGTCTTTGCAATTTAATTTCAAATTACACTCAAATTCTAAGGGACCTAATTATGATTTTTAAATTTTGTGAGATTTATTTGTGAATAAGCCTACTTCCCAAGACTTATATGTAATTTTTTCAAAAATTTAATGATATAAATTATAAGTAATGTAAAAAATACTTATCTCTTCTTGTAAATAGAGCTTAAGAGAATAAATGACAATTACTTACCTCACGATTATTGAGAAACTTGATTAAAATTAATTTTTCTCATTAAATATGTTTCAAATTAAATTTCCCCCCAAATTTTCCTTTAGTAATTAATGTTTCTATTATCTCTTATTGTTTCCCAAAATAAGCATTAAATGACAAGTAGAGGCACTTGTGAAGATAAACATTTGATTAGAAATGACTTATATTTTATACTCTAGGCCTTTTTTTTTTATAGGTTAAATGATATTTTTGCCTCTCAATTATTTACTCTAGAGTGTTTGGCATTATCAACTTATGAGGTGCAATTTACTCTTCAACAGTAAAAACGATGCATTAGGCACTTGGCATTGAAAAAGTTAATTTAATCTTTAGTTGACTGAAAAATTACAAAAAAAAACCTGAAATATTACAAAAATAATATATAAAATTATAACCAAGCATCGTATAAAAAAAATAACATCAAGTAAATTTTTAAAACAATGGTTGGTCAAAATCGTAGGTAAGAAATAATATTTGCACTTTTTTTTTATATACTTAGAAGACTTAATTTATATTAATTTTTTATTAGGCATTTATGTATAATTTTATGAATATTTTTTGTAATTTTTGAGAATTTTCTTTTATAATTTTTTCAGATAAAGTTAACTTTTTTAATGTCAACAGTGTATCATTTTTAAATGTTAAAAGACAAAATTATACCATATATAAATTTAAAATAGTAGACCCTCTTAAGTGAATAATGAGGGGCAAAAATATTCACAATTTTTTTTTTGAAAAAATACTAACTTATATTGAGGACTAAAATATTTGGATTCCACTTTTGCAAGCCGAAAGAACGTTCAGAAAACATACCTTTGTCTTAACTGATGTTTAGTTTACTTTTCATGCTTAGCTTTTGAAACAAAAAACATGAATGAAAAGCCAGTTTTGTAAACGGAAATCGCACTAACTTCTAACTTTTTTAAACATTAGTTTAGTTTGACAATGTCCATTCTGCAAATTTCAAATCAAACAAACATTTATAAAAGCCTTGGAAAACTATATTCTTAGCAAATTGTAAATAGAATGAGTTGTAGAAAACTGTATTGTTAGTTCAGCTTCATGCAAACGTATGCGAAAAGTTATAACACACACACACACACACATGCACTATTGAAGATCCTCACACAACATCAACAAATCTTATACCATTAGATTAGGTTGAATATATGAATTGTACGAAATCACCATATTCTATCAACAAATAAAATGTTAGGAGGGAGGACACAGAACTAAACATATATAATCCCTATGGCTTTTCAGGACTCCCGGCGCATATACGAGATACTTAGTTTGTTAAGATCACATTTAGCTGGTTAATGACTTGTAGGGTCTTATATGAAGGTGGTCTTATTATAGATTAGGCCTGTGTGGAGTTTTAGCAATTGGGTTACTCACCCTGCTACCCCGTGTGGCTTGTGTAGCACCCTGAGGGTTTATAGATTGTATCTCCATGATTTTTTTTTTTTCGTTTTTTTAACCCAAAAAAGAGTTCCTAACGATTTCAGACCCAAAGGGGGAAAAAGAAGAGTCGGACCAAATGCATTATAATAATGTCAAAAGAAAAAAAAAAAAAGAAGAAGAAGAAGAAAGAAAAAGAAAAGAACAGAGCACAAACTACACATCATTAACGCCCTCTATCCTTTTCAAGTTCTCAGAGCCTTATTGTACGAAAGCCCGAACCATTTTTACTTCAATTATTTCTTCTTTTTTTTCCCCTTCTGGTTTTTCATGACTGGATCTACAAGCTAACCTAACGTGGGTTGCTAAAAGCCACAGCCAACTTTACTGATGGTATCTATAAAATGACTCTGGCAGTGTGTATAATTAAGTACAGATATGACCTCAAAATCCAATTGGTATTCTGAACCATCAGACATTAACAGATAATCATAGAGCAAGTACTCAAATATGGCATATATAGGTCATACGTAAAAATAATAGGTAAACTTGTGCTGTCAACATGCAACCTAACTTGTTTAGTGTCTTCCCTTTTCGTGTCAACCTTCTCCCTTCTCTTTAATTGTCACACTTCACAAAATCTTCACCCGCAAATCTTATGCTGAAAAATGGTTTCCGGGTTAATTGGGTTTTCAGGTCAGCCCACTCTAATAAGCTACCCATAACTGGGATGACACAACTGAGCATCTCAACCTTTAATAAGATTTTGAATGTTACATCTCAGTCCATTCTTCGTTAGATCAACGATAAAGCAATCAAATGAAGGTTACATCTCTCCTTCCAGCATATTACTCAAATGGAACATTTCAACCTTCTAAGCTTTTGATAGACCATAAATAGGAATCTAACCTGTCTTGCGAAATCCATCCTGTCATGGCTGAAATGTTCTGGGCATTGGCTTTGGCTTGCCTCTGCTGGCCTCTGGCCCTCAGCAATGCCCAAGCACCAGAATCTACACCCGCAAAATTACCAACCAAAACACCAGCAGCACCTTCTAACTTGCCAACTAGAGTTCCTGCTGCAAGGCCGACCTCTTCAGCCGCACCAGTATCAGCCATGAAACCCCCTGTTGTGGCAGCAACACCATCCACTTCTTGGACCACCAGCAGCAACCCAGCCACCTGCAACCTCCAAAGTGCCAGCTGCAAGGCCTGCCTCCTCTGCTGCACCATTAGCAGCTGCAAAAGCTCCAGCTGTGGCAGCAACACCATCCACTTCTAGTAAACCACCAGCAGCAACACAGCCACCTGCAACCTCCAAAGTGCCAACTGCAAGGCCTGCCTCCTCAGCTGCACCATTAGCAGCTGAAAAAGCCCCTGTTGTGGCTGTTAGACCTACCACTTCTGCTGCACCACAAGTGGCTGCAAAAGCCCCTATTACAGCTGCAAGGCCCGCCTTGTCTGCTGCACCGCTGGTGGCTGCAAAACCCCCCGTTGTGGCTGCAAGGCCTGCCTTGTCTGCTGCACCGCTGTTGGCTGCAAAACCCCCCATTGCGGCTGCAAGGCCGCCCTTGGCTGTTGCACCGTTAGTGGCTGCAAAACCGCCCATTCTGGCAGTAACCCCTTCCACTTCAAGCAAACCACCAACAGCAACTCCCACATCTGCACCTGTAAAACCCCCAGCACCCAAGGTTACACCAGCTATCAGCCCAAAAGCCCCAACCCCTAAAATTCCACCACCACAACCACCAAAAAGTCCACCCGTAGCAACTCCCATACTGCCACCACCATTAACACCATCACCAGTTGCTTTACCACCACTATTGCCACCTCCAACAATATCCCCAACACCAGACCAGACACCTCCAGCACCAGCACCAGCAAAGAAAAAACCAGCACCAGCTCCTGCACCCAAAAAGAAAGCACCAATACCATCACCTGTTCCTTCACCATTGATGGCCACACCAGCACTAGCCCCAGCACCAGTGGTGGAGACACCAGCCCCAGCACCTGAAGAAGACGTACCAGAACCACCTCCCCACAGGCACAGGAGAAGGAAGAAAAGTCATAAACACAAGCACAAGAGACACCAAGCACTCAGTCCAGCGCTTGCACCCACAACTATCCGGAGTCCCCCAGCACCACCAACAAGTACAAGTACAACGACTGTGGATTCAGAAGAAGACACAGCACCAGCTCCAAGCCCAAATTCAGTTAGTTATTTATCTGTTAAATATCATTACAAATATATTTTCAACTGTTGAGAGTTGATTGAACGCTTTACAATATGAAGTATTTAGTTCTATCTGTTGACACTCATCAGCTTCACATTATTTTAACTACATTTTCTACATTTTTAATTCACAGAATGGGGCAACATCATACAATCAACAGGTGGGCAAGTCGAGAATATGGGCATCAACGGGACTTGCTACTGCCATTTTCCTTGCCATCACTGGCTTCATCTGCTAGCACTCTCGTATCCAAGGATTCAATCAAAAGTGCTATTTGGCTTGCAAAATATGAAGCGAAGAGAACCAATAATGAAATGCTACAACTAAAGGACATGATGGTGTTATTTCATTCTTTTTTCTTTTATTTTTTAATGTGTGTATTTTTGCTTGGAAATATTTTTCAAAATATTTGCTTGGATATAATAATGAATATAAATTTTCAAATCATCTAAATAACTTGGATAAGTTATAAAGAAGATTACAACATCCAGAATTATCGCATTAAACTTGATCAATTTCGGAGTCCAGCTTGGTTTTCTCCCGGAAATCATACTCTGTGATGAGGCCAAGATTGTCAACTAATTTGTGATGCTGAAGACATCCTGCACACTAATAAGGTCCACTTCAAATTATTCACAAGAGGATGAATACTTCCACTATATTTATATCAACAAATTATGGCCATAAATTATCAAGCAATTCATAAATAATCAGTATAGCCAATGTAAATATAACTTTCTTTACAACAAAGGAAAAAGTAAGGGCATTGGAGAATTTTCTCAGGAGGCACAAATTTGTGTTACACTTTATTACGTTTCAAATGGGTGCCTCGGTGTTTGGATCAATTATGTACATGGCATAGCAACCACTGAAAAATTGATGCACCAATAAAGGTGGCCTTCAATTTCAAATTCATGCAAATGTAAAGGGGGAAAATAGTAATAAAAAAAAAAGATTCTAAAGCCAGTGATTTGACCCCCTTCCTTTGTTGCTAAAGGGGGCAAAGTTGCCAAAGATCAGTGTCAGATTACCAATAAACATATAAAAAAGAATTTAATTGTTTGCAAACATCAGGAAAATGAAGATTAAGCTTAAGCGTACAGGTTAGCAAGCAACCAGCATAATTGCTTTATATTTTATAGGGTAAAGGTGCAAATTTAGCCATGAATTATTTTCTGAGAACCACTAGTTAGCTTGTACTATAAGGTGGTGAAAAAAAATCATAAACTGTAACAAATGGAGCGACCACAGCCTTCTGTCCATTTTATCTAACATCCGTTCTCTTTCTCTCAATCTATCTCTCTCTAACTGCTTCATCTCTACCTCTCTTTCTCTCAGTCCATCTCTCTCACAAGCTCACATGGTCCTGAACACTGGGTTTAGAGTCATAAATGAGGTGATTTTGCAAAGCGGAACCAACAAGTTAAAAAAAAGAAAAAGAATGCCCAGTGAGGCTATTGTGCACCACGGCAGACTAAAGGTAGGCTGTAGCATTTTCCTATAGAGGCTACTCCACCATGGAACCAAGTAATTCAAGTACGGTTTTGATCAAACTTGGTGGAAAGCCAACCCAATGATTGCTGTGTCTCTGCAAGTTTCAAGAAATTTTTATGATTTTTATTGAGCATCAGTTTCTTGGGAGAGTGAGAGTGAATAGGTTAATTTGCGCATAGATGAGACTGCAGGAAAGTGATAATGCAACTTAAAGTGTAAGAACAGAATGGGAGTAACCTCTAAAAGCCCTAAATTATCTTAAAATTACAGAAGAACACACCATGCACATATGCTCCGTCCTCTCAAAAACACAATTGGGCATGACAGTTAGTAGAGAACCTTGGAAGTGGCATTGAAGCATGGGTAGTGAATTTCAGTTGAGACGAGCATGTGGCGCTTGCCATAGATGATGAGAGCCCTGTGATTGTAGGTGACATTGAAGGGCTTGAAAAAAGCCGCAATTGTTACCTCATAGTGAATTGATAGACACATACAAATGAAATAGAGTGATCCTTGCCGAAAAGCTTCTCTTTGATGAGGCACAAGTCTGATCTCCATGTTTAAGCTTCAAGTATCTTTGCCTCTCTATTTCTCTCTCCGGGTCTCTTTGTTTTCTTTTTCCTCAAAAACGTGCAGTTTTCCAGAGACAAAGAAGAAGAGCCAATTCGAACAAAGGGACTAGTCGAACAAATAAAAACTTGCCACATGTCAATATTTTTGGCACAAAAAAAAATTTAACAGTCAACATTTTTCAGAATTAACAGTAGGCTGTGGATGCTCTGTTTTCTATGGTTGATAATTTTTTTCACCACCTCATAGTATAGGCTACCTGGTGTTTTTCGAAAAATAGTTCGTGACTAAATTTGCATTTTTATCCTATTTATATCCCACAAGTTTCCCCCTCCTATTTCATACACACTTGGTGGATATTATTGTTTGAAAACAAACAATTAATTAAACAAGTTTTGCTTGAAATCATGATATTTAGCATATGACCTGCCAAGTGCCAACCATGATGAAACCCCGCATCCATAACATTGTAAAGGTCAAGAAAACTGCATTTTTTATTTGCATGATTTAAAATTGCCAAGAAGACTTATCAGCTCTAAATTCATTTCCCTTCAAATCATATTTATTGTTTTCTCCAAAAGAAGCTAAGCAATTTTCAATACTTGAAAAGATGCAGAAATTCAGCTTCTTTCAATTTTATGTTGTATTTGCTGTTGAAAATATATACTATCAGCTGACAGCGGTAACAGAAGCCTTTTACCAGGACAACTATATGTTACTGTTTCTCGCATGAGTCCTATCAATTAGCATTATAATGGACCTTTAAAACTAAAGTATTCTCATCTTCTTCAATAGATTCATAGGACAACCACCCATGATAAAAGAGTAATTTGAGGGGAAAACATGGAATTTTGCAGCTTTTAGATCATAATATGTAATTTAATATTTAATATAAAGCTTATCCTATTCTGCATGTATGTTGCGAATCAAGAGTCAAGAGTTAATAAATACCTGAACAAAAATGACACCCCTTTCATAGGCTAATCGGTTTACAAGTCTCCTTGTTCTTTCACCACACAAGTTGCAAGTAAATTCTACAAGCATGCTTCTTCTTGGCAGCTTTAAGTCAATAGTAGCACCCTAAATATTGGACATAAAAGTTATTATAGTTTTTTTTTTTTTAATGCATGGGCACTACCGATAGGTTCAATGCAATGTCAAGGGAAAGCAGACATTAATATCAGGAGATAAAAGATGCACTTGTGGAAGAAAAAATTCCGGGTCTGAAAAATGTGCTCCAATTTCAATGCTTGAACTATTCTCCATGATAAAAAAACAAAACCTAAAGCTCAGAATGATTGTCACACAAGTTATTCAACTGAAAGTAAACAATTTAGAACTATACTAATAATTTTCACCGTTTAATGACAATATAATTTAACGAAGAATGAACTATAATCCAACAGGTACAACAACAATTTTATATTTGTTTTCCCAACAAAATATTAACCAAATTCACAAACCACTTCAGAAATATCTGATTCTGGTTCCGGGCCTGCCGCAGAATCACCATCCACCAATCCACGGACCTTAAAAACCTGACGGGAGACCACCCTTGTTGAACTCGAAAATTTCAACCTGAAAGCAATAAATTTAGTCTAGCAGAACAAACCCTAGAAAAAGGGATGGGATGGGGTTAGACAGGAACCTGTTGTTGCAAACTCTGACGGAAGGAGATTTTAGCCCAGAAATTGAAACTGGCTTGAAGATCTTGCAGTGGTGCGAGTGAGAAAGTGGCGATTTTCTGTCCGTGGAGCAGGAGAAAGAAGCGATGGTTGAAGGAAAACGGTAGAATGCGCTTGCCGCCATTCTTCTTTTTTTTCTTTTTTCTTTTTTCTTCTGTGGCACGGGACTAATATCCCATTCCTAATATAGCAAAAATTAAAAGGAAAAACAACAATTATAACTTCATAAAAACATTAATAACAATATAGGCCTTGAATTATTGAAATTTTAATTACAAATCATTATTCTTATTTATAATAAATTATTTTTTATTGAATGACTTAAAATTTATAATAAATTCTTAAATATTTTTTGTTAATTTTTTAAGTGATAATAAAAAAAAACTATATGTAGGTCTCATAGAATAAAGTTTAATATTAAGAAATTCCATAAATTTAATAAAATACTCTCAAGTTTTAGATCTTATACATTGACAATTTGATTAAAGGCATTTTAAAATTAGACAATAGCTATTTATAACTTATAAACAAAAATGATAACTTGTAATAGAAAGTTATAAATGATTATTATCCAATTGTCAATGTCTTTAATCATATTGTCAATACGCAACATTCGAGATTTGAGATTATTTTATTAAATTTATAGAACCTCTGGATAATAAACTTTTTTTCTATAAGACTTGAATGTTGTTTCTCCTAATAAAAAGTTACAAGTGATTGACTTGTTATTTGTAATTTACTTTAGTAAAGTTTCAAATGACACTACAAATAATTTCCAATGTATTTAGTAGATTTCTTAAGATATTTATTTAAATATATTGACAGCAAAATAATCATAAATTATTGGCTTGTGATTCATAATTAATTTTCATAAATTCTCGACTAACATTAGAAATAATCTCAAGTGTATTTACTTGATTTCTCAAGTAATCTATCTATATATTGATAGCAAAAAAAAAAAAAAATCATGATTCACAACTTACACTCATAGATTCTCAACTAGTATTACAAATAATTATAAATGTATTTAGTAAAATTTTCAATTAACTGTTCAAATTTTTTAATTGTAAGTAAGGACCATATTTATTATTGAAATTTAAATGTTTTAGAGTTTATAATTATCATTAATATTTTTATAAGGTTTCTAATTAGCATTTTCCCAAATTAGTGAAACATTTTTATTTTCACATAAATTTATTTTAGGCTAAAGTATACCTTTTTTAAATTTTATATAAGGTTTCAAATTGTTCCTTTAATTTTTTAAACTATCTTTTTAATTTTTAGCCCTAATATCATTATCTTATGCTAATGATTATTGTTTTAAAAAAATTAAAATTAATATATCAGATTTTAAAAATATTTTGCTGATATTTAAAAGTTTTATATTGTGATAAAATTAAAGATTAAAGGATTAAAAAATAATTTATAAAATAAAAAGGATAAAATGAAATTCTGTATAAAGTTAAAGGTTTTAACCTTTATTTTAATTTTCCCAGATTTGATTAATTACTTTTCTAATTCAAAATTACAAAATATAATTTAACCTGATGTAAATTAATCAGTGAATTTAAGGTAGTGAAATATTTGATACTAATTTTATAAAGCATTGATCAAATGATAAAAACACTCATAAAATTTTCTCATAAAAGTACCATCCTTCACTTAATAATATAGGGTGTCTCTGGTAGAAAACTTTATAAATATTTTTGCATTTTAATGCTCAAATATTTCTACTTTGCATTCATTACAAAATTTAAATATGCATTGCAATTGCTGATCTTTTTTTTTTAATGTAAGGTGCTAATAATTAATTTTTTTAGTGTAGTTGAAGCTCATTATCATTTGTGCATTATGTAACACCCTAAATTTTAACACTTATTTTTTATAAATTAATAATTTGATAAATTATTTTAATAATTTTAAACTCTTACCATGCTAGAAAAAAAAATTATAAAAACATTTCAGAAATAGTCTATTGTGATAAAAAAGGTCTATCATGATATAAAAATTCAAACATAATAAATTTACTTTATCATAATAATAAAGAAAAGCAATCATTAACCTATTATAATTTCAAAGCCATAGTCAATTGAGCAACATTTAACAAATCATGTTTTTACTCTAGATACCCAACTTGGGCCCTAAATTATACTTTTTCAAATACCAATAACCACCAAAAACTATCACATAAGGCAGACTTGATTGAAATGTTGCTCCACAGATTTTCAGGGCCATGAGAGATAAATAGAATTCTCTTAGCATATAAAGTACAATAATGAATAAAGTCTACATGCTCAAATATATATATATATATATATATATCCATTCTAGATTGGCATAATATACATCATTAATGAAAATAAAGAGGCTGAAACAGAAAATGGTGTCTCATACATTAAATTATGCCTCAGGCACTTCTTCAGGCAGACTTGCTCCTGAAAAATTAATAACCACGGGGAATGAGATTTAAAAGTCTTAGTAACCAAATATTAATATGTAATAATGTACATGAAGTAGTTAATCATGCGATTGCTAAGTGGGCCCAAAACAACAATCCAAGTGATAACTTAAATTAGTATGACTACACTTTATATCCCTCCTTACACCATACTTGGATGCCAAGTCACCCGACTAAAGGTGAGTTGGACTAATCTACAAGCCACACATTAGTTCTAATGAGGGCTTACCACATGATAACTCAACCAAATAAAAATTTTTATTGAATAATTTTTAATATACTCCGACCAGTCATGCATTAATAACAGCTGAACAAAAATCATTTGACACATTTTTATATAAACCAAACAATTTATCTCATGTTTTCAGCAGTGCCATTTTCACAAAATATTTGTAATATAAATTTAACCCACTTGACAATTATTTTCAAACAAAAATATACATTATATATTTTCTCAACAAAAATTAATATTTTTCTAACAAAACAAACACACAATTAATCACACACACACTGTCACACATTAATAATGGTTATTTCATATCTTGGATAACAATTTTTTTTATATCAGAACTCTTTTACCATATGGACAACACAATCTACACAGCCATTTAATAATATATGTATAACATTAATTCATGATACTAAATATTAATTTTTTTTATTAAAATTAATAAATAATTCCAATTAAATAGTTAGAAAGTTTAGGCCTAATCTAGATATTAATACTAATTCAAAATTTATGCCTGGTTTAATTTTTTAAATTATTTTATGAAATTCTCAAACCTCAATAGACTATACCTTAGTTTTAAATCAATCATAATACTAAGATTTCATCAATTTATTTTCCTAAAATTCGTACAAAAATAAATTAAAAATTTAAAAATTATCATCAAGCCTCAAATCACCATTTCATAGCCTCATAAATATTTATTTATACTCAAATGAATATCTAATAATCAAAAACCTATCCCAACATTTTAGATCTAACATAAACTCAATCATATAAGTCTAGAGTTTAACTCAAAAATTTTTTAAGCTAAGTTTCAAACTTAAAGAAATATTCTATAGTATTTATTATACCTCTAACAACCTCAACATTTATTTTTGAATCATCATAACTCGTATTAACTATCCTATAAAAAAATCTTAAATCAAAGAAATCTTGAAATATGAAACTCATTTTGTACACCTTAATAATCTGAAAATTTAGAACCTTATGTGAATAAAATGAACAGTGCTGTGCAGAAGTTAAAATGGAAAGAGAAAAAAGAGAAGAAAGCTGTGCACAGAAAATGAGAAGGAAATGAGGGTTTTTATAATAGGACACAGGTTTCATAGTCATTTATTACTTAATATTTATTATTATATTATTAACAAAATCTTTCAAACAAAGGGGAGCAATTTCAACATGAAGGAGAAATTTCAACTAAGGAAGAAAAAAAAATTTCCAACCACTTCAGTGGCTTGACTTTCCTTATATATATTAATTATATTTAAATAAACATCTCTTGTATAATTCTGAGCCTAAATTTGATCTACATTTGAATGCCTATATATGTGATTAACTCTAAATAATATTGAATATAAATTTATTTATTCTAAATCTAAAACAATATGAATTCCTAAATTTGAATACTCAACAAAAACTCAAATTTCACAATTTATTTGTTATATAAAGATCAGGATGTTACATCTCTCTCTTCCTTTTTAAAATTTTATCTCCAAAATTTGGAGTCAAAAGCTTAAACATTACTTACCTATGTAAATAAATGTGGATAATCCCTTCTAAATTATCCTCAATCTCCCAGGTAGCATCATCTGGGGTTGTGCCTTTCCAAATCACTTTCACGAGTTGGATGGCCTTATTGCACAATTGCTTATCCTTAACATCCTCTATCCATTCTGGTTCGGATCTAAAGGTCAAATTCTCGTTGAATTTGACCTCTTTCGGTTGAATCACATAAGACAGGGTAGGGTTGTATTTCTTCAATTGGGACATGTAGAACACATTGTGAATGCCTGCAATCTGTGGTGGTAGGGCAACTCTACAGGGTACTGGTCTAATTCGCTCTATAATTTCATAAGAACCCATAAATTTAGCCGTTAACTTCTTTTTTTTAATAGCTTTATCGATGCCTGCCATCGGAGAAACCTTTTTAAAATTATACGGTCTCCTACATCAAATTGTAAAGGCCTTCTCCTCTTATTGGCATAAACTCTTCTGTTGACTTTAAGTGAAGAGCAACCTTTGCTTAATCATTGTAATTTTTTGAGTAGTGTACTCTATAATATTTGGCCCAAGAGGCTCCTTTTGTTCAATTCGATCCAACATAAGGGTGATATGCATTTCCTCTCATATAATGCCTCATAAGGCACCATCCCAATGCTAGAGAATGATAGCTATTATTGCAAATAAATTCTACTAATGGGAGATGGGCTTCCCAACCATCGACTAACTTGATTGCATAGGCCCTCACCATTATCCTTCAAAGTTTGATTGTCTTCTTTGTTTGTTCATTATTTTAAGGATGGTGT